AACAGCACACAGCCAGGAACTATGTTTCTAACGACAGCTCCAGGGGTGTAGTTGCGAGTGCTCAAGTTTGCGACGCAGCTTGCGAATGTTCGTTGGAAGACGGATTTGGAAAACATCAAATCAACGGACTTTGTTTGAAACGACGCAACTTGCGACCTTAGTTGGCTAACAGTGGTTTTGGGAAACGCACTCCTGTGCGTTTACATATATGAAAATAATGGAACACCTTAGAATGCTCATCAGCCAATCAGAGTTAAGCATTCGACTCACTAGTACAAGTTTACACTGTCTGACCGTTTACCTGTCAGAATAACTGATCTCAGTGATGGAGATGATCATGATGAATATTATCCGACTGGACACTTTTAATAATGAAGTCTCTCTCATATTTGTCTGTATATTACTGTAACTGTATTACTGTACTGTAATTCATTTGCTGGAGCCCTTTAGAAATGTACAATATTCAGGAAAACTCTATTTCTGACATTTACAATCAATAAAGACTGTATAGTTTATGAGCGTCGGGTTTGGGTGTTATTTTTCAGTGTTCTAATAATAACTCCTTACATTTATATAGCGCTTTCTGGACACTCAAAGCACTTTACACTATGTGGGGGAATCTCCTCATCCACCACCAATGTGCAGCATCCACCTGAATGACACGACGGCAGCCATATTGCACCAGACCGCACACCAGCTGATTGGTGGAGAGGAGACAGAGTGATGAAGCCAATTATGATATGAGGAGGGTTGGGAGGCCATGATGGACAGAGGCCTTTTGAAACCTCTACTCTTCATCAAAGGACATCCTGGGATTATTAATGAGCTATTAACGAGTCGGGACCTCGGTTTAACATCTCATCCGAAAGACGGCGCTCACTGACAGTAGTGTCCCCGTCGCTATACTGGGGCATTAGGACCCACATAGACCGCAGGATGGGCGCCGTCTGCTGGCCTCATTAACACCATTTCCAGCAGCAACCTTAGCTTTCCCATGTAGTCTCACATCCAGGTACTGATCAGGCTCAGCCCTGCTTAGCTTCAGTTGGCGACCATGTGAGAGTTGCAGAGAGCGAGCTGCCGGCTGGTCTGGCTTCTGTCAGGTTTGAACATCTTATTTATCTTCTCTTAATATCTCTATATATTAACATTTATTAATCAAGATTTTAATTGACATTGACATGTTTTAAAGGTTTATTTCAGAGAAACGAGTTTGTGCTAAACAATAACAACAGATGACTGCTGTCAGTGGAAGTATAATCGTCTTACCTTTTTAAATGAAGTTATTATTTCTGAACCCACTGGCAGATATTTGTATAATATATCTTGATTAGTTTTGATTACTTATAATAATTAAAAATGACAGATATATAATTTTATATATATTTTTTTCAGTTTTAGTTAATTTATAGGCAACCAATTAATGCAGAGTTTAAATTATTTATTGCTTATTTTAACTGTATGTTGATTTGTTTTTACAGTTAATTGTTCAGATTTCTGTTAGTTTCCTGTTATTTTCATTGCAGTTTCAGTATTTGGATGAATTTTTAGAAATGTGCATTTGACTGTAAAAATAAATCCAATCTAACTCAATTAAATCTGATGAAAATTAAAGATCTTCAGCCATCCCTGTTCTCCAGGTAAATGTAACTGCACTGGAGAATATTTATATATTTTAACTGAAAAAACAAAACAAAACAATAGACTGTTGCTTTTTTAGATTAAATTATTATTTTGGACCAGATATTAGATATTTGATTACTTAAAAATAGAAACTAAAAGATTTTGTTCATTTATATAGGCAAATAATTTATATGAAGTTTAAATTATTTATTTACCATTTGATAAACTTTCTTTTATATATATATATATATATATATATATATATATATATATATATATATATATATATATATATATATATATATATATATATATATATATATATATATATATATA